CCACCTCCTGGGTTCAAGCAATTCTCCCACCTCAGCCTCCCGAGTAGCTGGGACCACAGACATGCACCACCATGCCTGGCTAATATTTGTATTGTCAGTAGAGACAGGGTTTTGCCATGTTGGCCAGGCTGTTCTCAAACTCCTGAACCTTAGGCGATTTGCCTGACTTGGCCTCCCAAAGTGCTGGGATTATGGGTATAAGCCACCGTGTCCATCCCATGGTTTTCTTTTCCTGCTTTTAGGACATGATTGTTCTTCTCTCTGCTTTTGGAGTGAGACTTCTTCTTTTCCCTCTTTTTACTCTGATGATGCCTTTCACAAGACCTCTATCTTGAGTAACTTCCGCTTCTTGATGGTTTTCTTTGTGTTTGTGTCTGTCCTCATCATTTTCAGATTAATTTATTTATTTATCGAGACAGGATCTCTCTCTGTTGCACAAGCTGAAGTGCAGTGGCATGATCACAGCTCACTGTAACCTGTGTCTCCCGGACACAAGCCTTCCACTACAGCCTCCCGAGTAGCTGGGACCACAGGCACACGCCACCACGCCTGGCTAGTTTTTGTGTTTTTTGTAGAGACAGGATTTTGCCATATTGCCCAAGCTGGTCTCAAACTTGTGAGCCCAAGCAATTCGCCCACCTTGGCCTCCAAAGTACTGGGATTACAGATGTGAGCCACCATGCCCAGCCCATTTTCAGAAGAATGTTCTTTGTCATTATGCTCCTCAGAAGTATATTTCTTAAAGGATTTGTTGTAGGATTCCTGACTCCTTGCCACATTATGAAATAGGCTTATTGTTTTCCTGCCTGAGTCCACAGTGTCTTCAATTCAGCCTCTTTGCCCATCAGCATGCTGTTTGTATTTTAGTCCTTCATTTTCTTTCCCATTTTCTTTCTCTTGACCTTGATTGTGATCTTGAATAATAATGTTTTGAGTCTCTAAGAAAAACAGATACATCTGACAGCTCTTCCCCTTCCCCACCCACCCTAAGCCACCACTATCTGGGCATGTCTTTTTCTGGTGCTAGTCCATCTTGTCCTGGATAACTAGCCTGTCTTGAGAACCCAGTCTTCATTTCATTAAACATCTTGAATGAAAACAGCCTTTTGGCACAGTGCTGCTGCCAAATACAGTCTGGCTCTACGCACATGTCTTCTGGCTGCCACAGTTCAGAGCTCAGGCCACTAGGGTGGCAGCTCCATTTCCTGCTTTTAACAGTACCAGCCACCTCAGAGCTTCGCCACACACTGACTAGCTCCTTCTAGGGTCCTGGATGGCACCCAGGGGATCTGCCATTGCTTTTTAAATTTATTTTTTACATTTAGCTCATTAATATCTATTAGGTGTTTTTATGTCTACATTGAAATAGGTAACTTTATTTTTCTCCCAAAGGATGACTGTTCCAGTGTTATCAGTTAGCTTGTCTTTACCCAACCTAAAACACGACCTTTATTTTAAAAATTGCATTTTATAAACGTGTATGTTTCAGTGATTTACATTCTCTTCCACTGACCTATATTCCCATTTTAGAATTTTATTTTATTTTTAAAATTTATTTAGAGAGAGGGTCTTGCTCTGTCACTCAGGCTGGAATGCAGTGGTGCAATGATAATTCATTCCAGCCTTGAATTCCTGGGCTCAACCTCCCACCTCAGCCTTCCAAGTAGCTGGGACTACAGGTGTGTGCCACTATGCCTGGCTAATTTTTTTATTTTTATTTTTTTGTAGAGATGATGTTTTGCTCTGTTGCCTTGGCTGGTCTCAAACTCCTGGGCTCAAGGGACCCTCCTGTCTCGGTCTCCCAAAGTGTTAGGATTATAGGGATGAGCCACTGTGCCCAGCCTTAGTATTATACTATTTTAGTTAACAAAGCTTTACAATGAATTCTGATATCTAGAAAAAGAAGTCATTCCTTATTATCACTGTTTTTCCAAATTTTCTTAGCAGGGTAGTCTTTCACATTTAATTTTCTGTAAGAACTTTAGATTTTGTCAAGCTTCATTTTCTAAAATCCTATTAGGGACTTCTAAATTCATTTTCTTCCTTTAAAACTATAGAAAGTGAATTTTAAAAACACATACACATACAAGGATAGAGAGTACAGGAAAGGAGACAACAGCAATGAAACTTTTGAAAGCAGACAAGGATCTGACTGCCTGACAATCGATTTGGCAAGCCATATCCCAGCCAACAGTAGCGAAAGCTGGCAGCATACAGTTTCACTGGGGTGTGGTTCTGGAGCAGACAGGGAAAGCTGTCTGAGAACGAATTCGTTCCCTAAGTCCTTTTCCCAATTCCAGGTCTCTGGTCAATTGCCCTTACCCCAGCACAAGACTACAGGTTTATTCCCTGCAGAGGATGAAAGAAAGTGTCTCTGGCTTAGGGGACACAAGGTGTACTTGATGGGACAAGTTGGGGATTAAATGGTCATGTGTTTTCTGATTGTTGAACACTAACTTGCCAGTCCAGTCAGCAGCAACATTTCTGGCAACTGTATTTTATTCTCCAGGCAGGAGAAAGATTTCACTGGGAAAGCAAACAGCTGTGGGGGTGGGCAACAAATATCCATGATTGTAGAGCTTCCAGTCAGCCTTTAATTCTTGTGAATGAAAAACCAAGGATTATCAGACATCTAAGGAAAACCTCTAACATAGGTGACAAAATGAACAAACAATAAAAAGTAACTTAGAAATGGATACCATATAAAGAAAAGGAAAAAGTTAAAATAAAAAAAAAAAACAGACAACCCAAACCCCTATTCTTAAGCTACAGAAAAAGTCTGGCTAACATGATGAAACCCCATCTCTACAAAAAATGTAAAAATTAGCCAGGCATGGTCCCAGCTACTTGGGAGGCTGAGGCAGGAGAATCACCTGAATGTGGGAGGCTGAGGCTATAGTGAGCTGAGATCACACCACTGTACTCCAGCCCAGGTGACAGAGTGAGACCCTGTCTCAAAAAAAAAAAAATTTAAAAATCCACAGAGAAATAAAAGAAGACAAACATAAATGGGTGCTAAACAATCAAAAACACTCATCCAGAACAAAATGGTCCCTTAGAAATAAAAAACCTGAGAGGAAATGGAAAAACAAAAAACCCACTTTAATTGAAGTATTAGAAAATTAAGTTAAGCAACTGTCTTAGAATGGGCAGAGATGGAAAATGGGAGAGAAAATATAATAAGACAGAGGCCAGGTGCAGTGGCTCACATCTGTAATCCCAGCACTTTGGGAGGCCAAGGCAGGGGAATCATTTGAGGTCAGGAGTTCTAGACCAGCCTGGCTTCAAACATGGTGAAACCCCGTCTCTACTAAAAACACAAAAAGTAGCCAGGCGTGGTGGCGCACACCTATAATCCCAGCTACTTGGGAGGCTGAGGCAGGAGAATTGCTTGAACCCAGGAGACAGACGCTGCAGTGAGCTGAGATTGCACCACTGCATTCCAGCCTAGGCTACGGAGTGAGACTGCATCTCAAAAAAGACAGAGGTCCGGTACTTGAATATAAGCAGCTCCAGAAAAATTGATTAGGAATGTGGAAAGGAAGGAATTCTCAACAAAATAATTTGACAGAATTTCCCAGAACTGAAGGACTTGAACTGCAGGATTATAAGGCCTTACCAAGTACCCAGCACAGTGACTGAGAAATAGACCCATTTAGCTACGTTGTCCTTACAGTGAAATATTCTGGCACTGTTAAAAATGTAAAGATTTATGAATAGCACTGATAGGAAATTATTGTATGTGGTTTTTGGCATACGTGTATATGTCTGCTAGATATGTTATCTGAGAGCAGAATTACTAGGTCATAGCGCATTAATACATAATGTCTAATAGTTTTCCACAGTGGTTGGTATCTGGCACAACACAGTGCACTGGTATCAGCTGCAGGGAAGGAATCTAAATGCTTTTGCCCATTGCATCTTGGTATCAGAGTCACCAAGGGAAACAGTGCAAGCACTGGATAGAGCTTTACTTACATAGAGGAGACAGAGCAGGACCAGCTCCAATAGTGTGCTTTGGTTCCTCATGGCATGTAGGTTTATCTCGCCAGCAGCTGGCTGCGACAGGGTGGTTTGCCTCCAAGCACCCACCTTGTGCTACAGTGGAATGGGGTGGTTTGCCTCTGAGCACCCGCCTTGTGCTACAGTGGAATGGAGTGGTTTGCCTCTGAGCACCCGCCTTGTGCTACAGTGGAATGGGGTAGTTTGCCTCTGAGCACCCATCTTGTGCTACAGTGGAATGGGGTGGTTTGCCTCTGAGCACCCATCTTGTGCTACATTGGAACAGGTGGTTTGCCTCTGAGCACCCATCTTGTGCTCATAGGAAGCTGTTTTGTAGGCTAAATAACTTTGACCAAAAAAAATTAAAAAGGAAGGTGTTTTGAAGTTAATGTTAACTGAAATTGAAATACAACTATGTTAACTCTGTAATAATGAAAACATTTTTGTACATGTATTGAAGACATAGAATTGTACGTAGTTGGTAGATCTTGGCTTACTGTAGCCTCCACCTCAGGCGATTCTCATTCAGGCTATTCTCATGCCTCAGCCTCCCAAGTAGCTGGCACTACAGGCTCATGTCACCACACCCAGCTAATTTTTGTGTTTTTAGTAGAGATGGGGTTTTGCCTTGTTAGCCAGGCTGGTCTCAAACTCTTGACCTCAAGTGATCTGCTTGCCCTGGCCTCCCAAAGTGCTGAGATTGAAAACATGAGCCATTATGCCTCACCATAAATTAGCATCTTAGAAAGGGGTAGAGAGCCCCAGGTATCTGCTGGTTGTGTTGCTGAAAACAAGGTTTTCCTATCCCAGATGATTCCCTCTGAATTGGGAGAAGTAGGGTGATCAGCTAACGCTAGAGACAAAAGGTAGGCTTTTTTTTTTTTTTTAATCATCATAAATAGTATTGTGACTGCCCCTTTTACTTTCAGATGTGACATTGATAAAACTGTGAATATATTCCTATTTCTCTTCTTTATCTATTTCTTCTTGTTTCCTAGGTTTTTGTGGAGACTCTGGATAAGTGTTTTGAAAATGTGTGTGAATTGGATTTGATCTTCCATATGGATAAGGTACATTCTCTTGCAGTTCTCTTCCAAACTAGGGTTACTAGAAAATCAAGAGCCTTGGGCATCTCTAGCCACCTCTACACCTTCATATTCTTTCTTTCTTTCTTTCTTTCTTTCTTTTTTTTTTTTTACCTGAGTGATAGTCCTAACTCCTTTTTTTTTTATATGTTTTATTGTTTTGAGTTTTTTTTTTTTTATTATTATTGCTAAGATCTGTTAACGGTTTTAACATGCATAAGATTATTACTAGGCTTGGTTCATCTGTTTACATACAGACTTCTTGATATAGGAGAACGGTGTCACTGGCTGTCTGGCCAAAGGTGAGATGAATAGTTTGATGTTGATTCTAAAATTAGTTTCCTTGTCATAGGCCAGTGACCATGAAACTTTGGAATAATCATGACACAGGGGCTTTGACTTAGATAGTAAAATTTATATTGTTCCTAAAGAGTAATATAGTGACTAAGAGATCTGTAATAATTCAAGATCAGGTGATATTCTATAGGAAAGCAGACTATCAGAGGCAGAATCAAAATGGCCCCAAGTACGTGTTCTCAGATTTGTTTTGCCAGTATAACCGTGACATGGCCTGTGTCCTCATGTGCCACATTAAACTTGGGAGGTAGCCAGCAAGGGGATAAGAATTGCCATGTTAGTTTGATTCAGCTTCTCACAGGCTGTCCCCTCTGCAGTTTACTGGTGCATCTTTGGTGTGCTTGGTCCTGGTTTTTCTTCAACTGATGGTTGTCATTATGATCCCTGGCCCTTGGAGAGTGATGATTTTTAGGAGACTGCTACTCATTGCTAAGCCATGATCCTTGATTAGCTGTTTCATCGTGATGAAGCAGGAGCTTTTAGATCCCTCATCACTAGCATTGCTGTCTAAAGGACTTGCTTGTTGTTCTTCAGTAGGGTCTTCATTCTTAGTTGACTCTCTGAGGTTGGCAGATCCCCACTTTCCAGGCTAATGTAGTGAATGCATTCTTGAGTTTGGATGACAGTCTAGTGTAGTCAAGTTTTGTCTCTCAAAATATAGGGGGAATGGAGGGGTATCTTCTGTAGGCTTTATTATTATTTTAAAATAATATTGTTAAATACAGGCCTGATGTGGTGGCTCATGCCTGTAATCCCGGTACTTTGGGAGGCCGAGGCAGGCGGATCACTTGAGGTCAGGAGTTTAAGACCAGCCTGGCCAACATGGTGAAATCCTGTCTCTACCAAAAGTACAAAAATTAGCTGGGTGTGGTGGTGGGTACCGTAATCCCAGCTACTTGGGAGGCTGAGGCAGGAGAATTGCTTGAACCCGGGAGGCGAAGGTTGCAGTGAGCTGAGATAGCACCACGGCACTCCATTTTGGGCAACAGAGTGAGACTCCACCTCAAAAAAAAAAAGAGAGAGAAAGAAAACATTGTTAAGTACAAGGTGTTACTTTGGAAGTTACCACTCGGTATGCAAAGTGGATTCTTTGAAGATGCCGCCTGTTGCTCACCAGACGGCAGATAAATTTCTTAACATCTCAGGTGTAGGTTCAGGGGTAGATTTTACTAGGAAAGGGGGAATTTTCAAAGCAAAAGAGAAGGCACAGATCCCGCACCCCCACCTTGTCCCTATGGAGAGGTGTATTGGGGCATCTCTGCTGGAATGACTCCCCATCACGCTGCTCCCCCAGCGCTCTCTTTTTTATCAGACACCTATGAGAGTAGCCTTACTAGTGGAGAGAGATGCAAAATGCTTAGACACTAGGAAATCTGTATTTGTTTGCCAGCTGCTTATAGAAGTTGTCTGGGGACCTGGTGCAGTGGCTTACACCTGTAATCCCAGCACTTTGGGAAGCTGAGGGGGATGGATCACGAAGTCAGGAGTTCAAGACCAGCCTGACTAACATAGCGAAACCCCTTCTCTATTAAAAATACAAAATTAGCTGGGTATGGTAGTGCCTGCCTGTAATCCCAACTACTTGGGAGGCTGAGGCAGGAGAATAGCTTAAACTTGGAAAGCAGAGGTTGTGGTAAGCCGAGATTGCGCCACTACCTGGGCAACAAGAGCGAAACTTCGTCTCAAAAAAAATAGAAAAAAAGAAAAGAAGTTGTCTGGGAATGCCAGCTGCCCAACACCTGCAAACTTGGGGACCTATGGGATAATACACACCTGGAAAAGACAGCTGCGGGTCCTGTGGGAAGTTGTGCTTGGGTGCAGCCTATCTTACTGGGAAAAGGGGTAGCCTCCTAACCCCCTAGTCTAAGCTAGTTCATTGTCTAGGTAACCCAGAGTATGCCTCCACAGCGACTTTTTTTTTTAATGGAATTTTGCTCTTGTCACCCAGGCTGGAGTGCAGTGGCGTGATCTCAGTTCACTGCAACTTCTGCCTTCCAGGTTCAGGTGATCCTCCTATCTCAGCTTCCCGAGTAGCCGGGACTATAGGCACCTGCCACTGCACCTGGCTGATTTTTATATTTTTAATAGAGATGGGGTTTCACCATGCTGGCCAGGCTGGTCTCAAATTCCTGACCTCAGATGATTCACTCACCTGGGTCTCCCAAAGTGCTGGGATTACAGGCGTGAGCCACTGCGCCCAGCCTCCAAGGTGACTTTGAAAATAAACATTTTGTGTGTGTGTTTTATCTTCTTTACTCCGTTATTTGTAAGAATCACCCATTTTGTTACATGTATCCTTAGGTAGTTTCATTGCTGCATAGGATTGTGTTGTATGAATTTATCCATTCTATGACTGATGGAACTAGATTGTTTTGAGTTTGGAGCTTTTATGAAATATGTTGTCATGAATATTCTTGAAAATGGATGCTATTGTACATTTTTGTACATTTTCTTGAAACATCTATTTCTTTTAACAGTGCAATTGCTGGGTCATAGATGAGGCTTCTAGAAGGAAGAAACGGGAAGCACAAAGGCACCAGCAGGTCTGCAGCACTGGCAAAAGAAGTCTGAGGCTCAAGGCCTCGGACTGTAGGCCATTGTATCTGCCACTTTATTAGATAATGCCAGACTTTCCAGAGTGATTGTATCGATTTATACTTCCACCAAATGGGGGGGCGGGTGAGTGTTCCCATTGCTCCATATGCTCACCAAAAGTTTATATTCTCAGTGTGGCAGTCATTAGAACTGTTAACTGAATATTTACAGTTCTTTCCCCTTCAGGACACATGGTAAAATTATACTTCTATGCCTTCTTCAAGTTAGGTGTAGCCATGTGACTTGCTTAAGCCAATGAAATGTGAGTGGAAGTGCCGTGTGTCACTTCTAGTCAAAACTTAGATGCCAGTGCACAGATAAATATATATATGTTTTTTCTCCCTTGGCATTTGTGGAAGCATGGACACACAGCCTGCTGGGGCCTGGGTCGCAAACTGGGGATGAGGTAGAGCAGTGCCCCCAAGTGGACCCATAGTGTATGTGTGTATAGTTTGAGAGAAATAAATTCAGTAATTTAAGCCAGGAAATGTTAAAATTGTTACTGCTGCTTAACCAAGCCTATCCTGACTGATGGATATAGAACTTAATTTTGATGGAACTACTGGGTATGTACTGGTATTTCATTGTCATTCTAATTGCATTTCTCATGAAGATGAGCATCTCTTATTATCTGTTGGCTATTAGGAGGTCCTCTCTAGTGAAGCATTTATTCAAGGCCTTTTTTCTTTCTTCTGTGAGGTTGTCTGCCTGTGTTTTAAAAATGTATTTGTAAGGGCCAGGCACGGTAGTTCACACCTATAATCCCAGCACTTTGGGAGGCTGAAGCGAGCAGATCACCTGAGATCAGGAGTCAAGACCAGCCGGGACAATATGGTGAATCCCGTCTCTACTAAAAATACAAAAATTAGCTGGGTGTGGTAGTGTGCCTGTAGTCCCAGCTACTCAAGAGGCTGAGGCAGGAGAATCGCTTGAACCCAGCAGCCGAGATCACACCACTGCACTACAATTTGGGTGACAGAGCAGGACTCCGTCTCAAAAAAAAAAAAAAAAAAAAAGTGTTTTTAGAAGTGGTATTGAATAGGAGCAGTGACAGTGGGCAACTGCTCTGATTCCTGGTTTGAAAGGGAAGCTTTCATCCTGTCACCATGAAGTACAGTATTTGCTTTCGGGTTTTTCGTAAAGATGATCAGGTTAAAGATATTTCTTCCTCTCTTCCTACCAAGGATTTTTAATCATAAAAGGATGTTACAATTTATCAAAAGCTTTTTTTCCATCTCCTGAGGTAATCGTGATTTTTTTGCATCATCATTCTAATACTGCTTTGTAAACATCTGTGAGGATACCTGCTAGAGCCATAAAGTAATTCCAGTTCCAGCCATTTTATTTGACATGGCTTTTAAAAGATAATAAAAGGCCATAAGAATGTTGCTACTCCTCATATGTCTTATCTTCAGATAGGTTCCATAAAGTATTTTGCCGCCACTGCAGATTTCTTTTACAGCTTATGAAACTTTATTTTTGTTGTTCACGCAGTATTAGGAAATAACTGTTGAGATCTCCTGAGATTTTTGAAAACGGGTGATGCAAGGAATCAGAGGCCTCCCCTACTCAGCTTTAGAGTGTCTAGTGGTGGCTTCCAATAGGTGGCCTCCTTTGCATAGGATTCCAAGCTTATCTTTGCCCTCATAGAGAGCAGTTGCTAATTTAGGTAGATCTTCCATTGATAATTTAAAAATGACCTTTTTACTAAGATTAACAAACGCCTTATCCTACGACAATAGGAGTATCACCTTGAACTCTGTTTTTAACTAAAGAATCTCTTCACCTCAGGGTTACAAACTCTCATCAGTTCCTAGGCCTTTGAGATCTGCATTAGATAGTCATGGATAGATGCCCCATCACCTTCAGCAGACGTAGCCGGTGGCTGTGTAAAGACCAGATATGACCGAATTCCCCCATCCCCTTCAGCAGATGTAGCCGGAGTGGTAGGCCTGTGTAAAGACCAGATGTGACTGAATTCCTCCTGCCCTGCCAAGTTGTTTATTCCTCATCTTGTGATTTCTTGTTTACCCTCCTAAGTTGTTTTGTTACCACTCCTTCTTTCCACCTCATCTCTCTCCTTTTCTTCCTATGTTAAAGGAGGGTTTATTTATTTCATTTCTAGAGCCAAGTCCTCTGTCTGTCTCTCCCTGACACACACTGTAATCCCACTTCTTGCCCTGGTCTCTAAGGTGTCCCTAGTGTTTGTTCTTCTGTATCTACAAATCCCCAGGACACCCCATCCTGGAGAGAATAGAGCTCTCCCCATGGCTCTCCTGCCTCTAACTGTAGTTCAGCTTCCATTGTTTTCATTCAAGGTGAACTTGAACAAGTGGGTGATTTACACCCAGTCTTTAATTCTGCTTCCTCTGTTCTCTTTCTAGAGTCAGAATCCCAAAAGTCACTGATGATTTCCTGGCCGTTTCCCAGTCATCACCTTCTTTAATGTTTCTGTGCTATCTGATGCTGGCAGCCCTTCAGTGGAGCACTCTCTTAACCTTTTTCCACCTTTGTTTCTATCATATAGAACCCTCCTGATTTTTCTCCTGTTCTCTTCTCACTCTATCAGGAAGTTACGTTGTCAGTCATCTCTCACCTCTCTCTTTTCCCTCTCATTTCTAGCATAAATCTCATCCATTTTTCATGTTCTAGATCTTGAAGCAAAACTTGAGTATTAAAAAAAAATTCAAAAAAAAATTCAAAAATTGGTAATTCTAGTCTTGATGTGTGGCCTGAGTCCTGTTCCTGAAAGCATTTCTCCCTAATGTCATTCTCACATCTAGGTATCTTCTTGCCACTTAGCCAGAGCCAGCTTCAGCAGATGTCTTCTGAAAACCATTTCTCCCTACAGCTTCCCTTTTCCAGGTGTGTTACTACCGTCCTTTGTCATGTACTTTCAAAGCCTTTTATACCTCTTCCTCCTTCCCAAGATCCAGAGTCAATCACTAAACCTGTTGCTTCTTTCTCTAAAGTCCTTCTTTGTATCTTGTTCTTGGATTCACCAACTATTAACATTTGGCATACTTGCTTTTGTCTCTATGTACGTATATACATTTTTCCTGAATCATTTTGAGAGTTAGATGCAGACATTATTACATTTCATCCTTAAATATGTCAATAGATGTATTCTAAGAACAAGGATATTCTTTTTTTTTTTTTTTTTTTTTTGTTTTTTTCTCATGTTACCCAGGCTTGTTTATAATTGTGGGATCTCGGCTCACCGCAACCTCCGCCTCCTGGGTTCAGGCAATTCTCCTACCTCAGCCTCCTGAGTAGCTGGGATTACAGGCACGCACCACCATACCCAGCTAATTTTTTTTGTATTTTTAGTAGAGATGGGGTTTCACTATGTTGACCAGGATGGTCTCGATCTCTTGACCTCGTGATCCACCCACCTCAGCCTCCCAAAGTGCTGGGATTACAGGCTTGAGCCACTGCGCCCGGCCTAAGGATATTCTTATATAATATGTTGTATATAATTCTCTGATGATGCATAGCACAATGAACATAGTTGGGAAATTTAACATTAACAAATATCATTTTCCAGTATACAGTTCATATTTAAGTTTCCCCAATTGTCCCAGAAATGTCCTTTAGATCTTCTTTTAAATCTGTTTCGGTTATGAGTCAAACATATGTCTCTTGATTTGAAATCACTTTTTTCTGGCAGGGCTTTTTTTTTGAGATGGAGTCTCACTCTGTTGCCCAGGATGGAGTGCAGTGGCATGATCTCGGCTCACTGCAACCTCTACCACCCAGATTCAAGCAGTCCTCCTGCCTCAGTTCCACTAGTAGCTGAAATTAAAGGCATGTACCACCACGCCCGTCTAATTTTTGTATTTTAGCAGAGATGGGGTTTCGCCATATTGGCCAGGCTGGTCTTGAACTTCTTAACTGAGGTGATCCACCTGCCTTGGCTTCCCAAAGTTCTGGGATTACAGGCGTGAGCCACTGTGCCTGGCCTTCTGGCAAGTTTTCTACCCTTATTCTCTCTTCCTTCTTGTTGATCCCACATACTGGAATTTGTTTTTCTAATGTACTTCTTAGACTAGCTTTGACCCCTTATCCAGACATTCCAAGCTCTCCGCAATTTTTCCTCATCCTATCTTGGCCTTGCTTCCATAACTATTTGCCAGACACCTGCTGCTGCAGCCAAAGTAGACCACTCTTACTTATTTCATAATTTCTGCTTCAACTCTCTGCCTGTCATTCAAGTGTAGCTCAAATCTTCCTACTCTAAAGCTTATCCTCATGGTCTAGCCTGTTGTGATCTCTTTGAACCATGTAGAGTATTATTTTTCTCCTCTGTGGCCTTAATTTACATAATTTCATGTGTTTTCCCTGATTGATTAGACTGCCTTCTCTTTGTACTCCTCACTGAATCTAGTGTGGTGCCTTTTACTGACTGGCGTATCTTCAGGTGAGTGTTACTAAAGACTTCCCAGGACTCTACTCACATAAAGTTGTTCATGATTTAAACTGTTGGAGGCTGGAGTGAGGTCTAATTTCATAGTCCCTGGGGTAACCATCAGCTCTCCAGGCTGTGGCATTTGGATCCTAGGGCACTTGGTTCTCTTTTGCTTTCAGAAATCCCTAAACACAGCTCACCATCATGACCGAGTTGGGTGTTGGTGTTAATTATGGTGAATTGAATTTTGTTCCAAGAAAACTGTGTGAGTGATCCAACGTTCTGACCTACCAGGATCTAATGGCAAAGCTGGATTTAGAATTCAATTGGGTTTTCAAGATTTGGTCATTAGAGTCACAATTCAATGGCTATGTCAAGGGTATTTATCCAGCTTTTTTTTTTTTTTTAAGATTCTAATTTGCATTGGGCCCTCTCAAGAAAATTGAAACATATGCTTCTGAATGGGGCTGAGCCCAAAAAAGCCTCATAGTATAGAATTTTACATCTCTGCTAAGTATAGGCTGCTAAAATGGAAAAATG